TTGTTGTGGAACAGCAGGGATTTGCGGCAATGCTTGATTATTTTTATATCACCGTCCGTGAGTTTTACATTTAGCTGTGCCGGTTGTATGGCTTCATTTAATATGCTTTCTGTAATGGAAGGATAAAAATCCACAATGTCAAATTGGATGAAAGTGGATTTGTTCTTGTTGTCTATCGATTTAAACCACTCTATGACGGCTTTGGTGTTCTTCCACTGGTTGAGACCTAATTTTTCTCTTAGGCTGGTGTTGATATTTTCTAATATCTTCTTACTAATAGATAGATAGATAGATAGATAAAACATATCTTTATTTTTATTTTTTTAAAATAATTATAATATATATATATATAATTTTTTATAATTATTTTGTAAAATATGATTCCTTCACTACATAAACAACACACACACACACACACACATATATATATATATATATATATATAAGTGCAAGTATATGTGAGTATACATAAGACTTTTCTCTATATACATATATAAATATTACACACACATATATATATATATAATATAAATCCATGCATACATATATATATATATATATATATATATATATATATATATATATATATATATATTGGAATGATGTGAGTTTGTAACCCTGGGTTTCACAAAGTCACATCTTTCCATGTCATCTTAGCTCATTCAGTGATATTGAGTTCTTTCCAAGTAATTGAGTAATGGATAGTGGCTCGGATTGAGGAATCGGGGAGCCGATTTCGAATTCCCGTCGAATCCATTACTTTCCTTGGGAAAGTTATGAATCTTCTTCTCTCGACCCCAAGCTATGGGTAAATAGCTGGACAGACCGGATTGTCTCACGCATGGCACATAACTGACTGACAGCGAATATATAATATCTAAATAAATTGCATATATATTTATATACATACGCATTACACACACACACACATATATATATATATATATATATATATATATATATATATATATATATATATATATATATATATATATTAAATTCTAGAAAGAAATTCGGATTACCAACACACAAACAGAGAATGTCTCATATCGAGAATATTTCACATTGAACATGAAGAAAAATTAATTATTTTTAATAATATGTAGAAATCTCCACATTTACCTGAAGACGGTCGCGAGACCAGAAACACGTGTCGTAAAATTATGTAAAACAAAGCATAATATTTTTTCTAAATAAATCCACATTACAACCAAAAAACGTTTTCAGGCCCTCTCTTCTCTTCTTTTAATATACATACTTTTCTCTCGTTGGAACCACTACAACATATTTCTTTTCTATATATATATATATATATATATATATATATATATATATATATAAAAGATAACTATACTCGTTTCGAAAAACCCTCGAATTTTGATTTGCCAATAATCAAATCAATCTCGAGGAAAAAAAAAGGTTTTAAAAAAAGAAAGAGCTACAAACATGAAAATCTGTCGAAAAAAATCGCAGAGATGTAGGTTTGAAGCCCAAAGAAAAAACCCCGATACGAGTAAACAACTAACTAACAAAAGAGCTCAATACAACCGTAGAGCAGACCTAGATAAACCTAGTGAGCCAGATTTACCTACCCAGGTTTCACCTAAACGGATCGTCAGGGAAAATTGGCTAAAGAGGCAAAGGGAAACGCATATTTATAGGCGATAGCCAAAATTGTACCATGTGACCAAAGAAAGAACCACACAAACGCAAACACAAAACCACCTGAGTGGGGGGGGGTTAAAGATTTATTCAACAAAAAAGGGGAGGGGATATTAAAATACGAACATTAAGGTGGAATGACAAATAAACGGGAAAATTCGTCTAATTTAGTAACCAAGATTTTTTATGCCTACATATGTTAAGAATTTCAGTTTCAGAGTTTAATAGCTGGTTAGGTTGATCATATAAAGCTATGGCTAATTTCTTCTCTGTACATAATTTACAAAATTTTTGACCCGATTTATATTTGGGGCATTTTTTTTAATATTTCCCATTTAAGGATGGGGTCTTTATTATCTTCTTGTTTGGTTTTCCATACATAGGTGGATAACGTGGTAATATGTTTAGTTTTTTCGTTTTGAAAACTACTCGTGTGATTATAGTATCTTTTTTTTAATTTATCCTGAGTAGCACCTATGTATATTTTAGGGTTAGTATCCTCCCTATCCTTGTAAATTTTCACTTGATAAACCACGCATTCTAGGCGAAACCTAGGTAGGTTTATCTATCTATCTATCTATCTATATATATATATATATATATATATATATATATATATATATATATATATGAATGTGTTTGAGGAAATGGATTAAATTCGACAAATATTTAATATACTTTCTTTTTATAAGCTAATAGGTTATTTTTTTATTATGTATACACTTATTTGAACAAATGCTCTTTTCTTTAATTAAATATTATTAATTAAATTTACCGGCCTGGATTTTCGAGAAATTTCGTAGAAAATTTGCGCCTTCTGATAGGAATCGAACCTACATCCTATATGCAACCACCATTAAGCCCAGCTATGACCGTTCAGTCACAGAGAATTTCTGTTTAAGCAAATCTCGATAACATTTTAATATCAGTGAATGTATGTTTGAAACACAGTAATTCGACCGTTGCTTAACCAGATGTTCATTGGGGCTGAACGATCATAGCACGCCGGCCTTGATGTTGGTTCCGTGCAGGTTATATGGAGTTTCTCGGTAAATGTAATTAATACTGTTTACTTAAATGAACACAGAATTGACACAAAGAAGTGTATCCATAAAAAATAACGTATAAACAGAAAATATATTAAATATGTATATATGTATATAAATATACATATACATATATAGATCTATATGGTGGACTCTCCCGTCATAATCAACGTATGAGGGTCAAACAGCTCAGTTCCTAGGAACCGAGAACCAGACACCGGCACATATAATTTGATTATAGTGGTGCAGGCTTTGTGCAGAACCAACAACAGTTTTTGAAGGGTCGAATACAGAGACCTGGTGCACTACGAGCTACAAGGTTCCCAAACGACCCTCCGCAGATTTTGAATTCAGAGTTGTTCTTCTCAAAGAATCAAGTCTGTACTGATATTTACCATAGCTGTACGGAGAAGAAGGTTAATAGCTTTCCCTATTAGTGAATACAATGGATTCGACTGAATTCGAACTCGGCTCTCCGATTACTCAATACGAGCCGCTATCCACTACTTCACCGTTCCTCCATATATATATATATATATATATATATATATATATATATATATATATATATATATATATATATATATATCAAACTGAATAAATAAAATTGAGTCGCATCTTGAATGTTGCGTTTCGTCCCCTGATGCCTTCATCATGGCATATTTAAGGTTTTTATTTACGAATATAATTTAAAAATTTTGTTGTTTTTTCAAAACTTTTAAATTTAGGAAAGCCCATAAATATTCATGAGGCCATCTGAAAGTCAATTTTAATTATGGAAGACATTATGATATAATATCTTTAATATGATCTTTTACTTTTGTTTATAACTATTGGTTAACATACTTATATCGACATATACCTATATATATATATATATATATATATATATATATATATATATATATATATATATATATATGTATGTGTGTGTGTGTGTGTGTTTGCTGTGTGTATGTATGTATTAAACCAACTTCATAATATATATATATATATATATATATATATATATATATATATATATATATATATATATATATAAATGAAATGAACTAAGTCCAATAATTATTTTAATATATTTTTCTGTTTAAAAGTTATTTTTATGGATACAAAATGTAAGTAAATGCACTGTAGTTAATACTGTTTATTACAAAGAGAACATTTACTTATATAGTGATATCTATAAAAATAACATAAAACAGGAAATATATTCATAATATATATATATATATATATATATATATATATATATATATATGTAAGTATATACCTATTCATAATTCATATGTATATCCAAAAAAACTATCCATAATATGTATATGTGGAAATATATACCTATTCATAATATGTATATATAGATATAAAAATTTCTTCATAATATATACATATATAAAACAAATCTCTCCATAATATGCATATATATATATATATATATATATATATATATATATATATAGAGAGAGAGAGAGAGAGAGAGAGAAAGAGATAAAACCTTACTAAATATATATATATATATATATATATATATAATTATTTATTTAAAATATGATTCCAAATGCGATTTGGAATCATATTTTTAAATAAATAATTATATTTATGCTCTACTTTTGTATCGAGCACTATTTTTTAAAAATAATAACTAAAATACTAAGGGACTTTGGATTATTTACCTAACCAGTTCCTTCCTATTTTCTATATATTTTCACACACACATATATATATATATATAGATAAAACCCTCTTCAATATAGATATAGATATATCTTTTTAATTTAATAATATTAACTGACTTTTCGCTCCAGTTATGTTTGGATGTCCCAGCCAAGAATTTTCAAATCTCTTGTTTATTTTTTTTTTTTTTTTTTTTTTTTTTTTTTTTTTTTTTTTAAAAAGACAGCTTCGAAATTTGCTTTGCCTGAATATATCTCGTTCTATGTATTTGAGGAGGAGGTGAAAAGTTCTCATCTCAATCCACTATCTTAAAACCGACCTAAGCGTCAGTTACTTTTCTGTGGAAGTTTTTCTTGGTTGGTGTGAGAACCTTTCAACTCTCCTTCGTACGTATTTGTTTTATAAATAATGAACATCTCTTATACAATTTTCCGTCACACAGGCGTAGTCGAATCTGTATATTTCACGAAGGTGGATTACTATTTTCAAAAGAGTTATGGGTTTCTTTATCTGAGATTATTTAATCTTATTTTTCATCATAATCTACTTTTTCCTGGCTTTATTTGTACAATTTTTTCTGTTTTTTTTTCTTTCTGTCATTTTCCTTGTTGTTTTACTTTTATGTTTCGTTTTTTTCCCTTTTTCTTGGATTTTTTCTTCGTTTTTTCTTTCTTTTCTTTTCCAGTTTTAATTCATTTCCCTTGCATAACTCCTCTCACCGATTTTACGTTTTCATTTTTTTTTACGTCGCCTTCATTCTTCCTTGCAGTCTTTCTTTTTCTTTTTTTCGTTTTCTTCTTTTTTCGTCGCTTCCTTCATTATTTGTCGCTTTCTTCTTTATTCGCTTTCTGTTTCTTCTTTTTTTGTCCTTTTAATTTTTATCGCTTTCTTCTTTTTTTCGAAACCTTCTTCTTTTTCGTCGTTTTCTTCTTTTTTTTTTCGGTTTTTCTTTTTTCCTTGCTTTCTTCTTTTTTGTCGGTGTCTTCTCGTTTATCGACTCTTTCTTTTTTTTCGCTGTTTTCTTCATTCCTTTCGCCCTTTCCCCGCCTTATTTTTATTTCATCCTATTTCTTAGCCATCTTGTTATAAAATAAATTTCTCTTTTTCTCTTCGTTTATTTTGCTCCCTATTGACTTCTTCTTTTCTCGTTTTTCTGTTCTAACGACCTTTTCCGAGAGTTTCCATCTTTTCTTCCTTCCTTTCTTTCTCTTCTGTTTTTCCTTCTTTTCCCGTCACTCGATTTTCGCCTGGTCGATAAATTCATCACATGTTTAACCACGCATTTTGTTGAGCACCTGGTGTCCAATGCGCGCGATAATTGATTAATATCGATCCATGCTTCGATACACGGGAACGCGATTCACTATCATTATCATGCACAGCGGTAGACTCATTAGAAGCAATGAACAAAATGTGATGCCAAATCGAATTCGAAAGAAATGATTAATTTCTATTGATATTTTTGTAAAATATGCTCAAATATTTGAATGTGTATACATGACTGAGACATACTTTTATTATATATGTTTCCTTCATCGCCTCCTGTATTTGTATATATATATATATATATATATATATATATATATATATATATATATATATATATATATACACACACACATATATATATATATATATATATATATATATATATATATATATATATATATATTATGTTTTGGGTATGAATTTATATCAGTAAATATCTGTTTTCTCGTGTTCTTGAGATTTTACATAGCCATTAATCTATCCTCCGCTACATGATATCTTCGGTATACTGAATATATCTATATAATTCCTCATCACCGCAATCTTTATCTTCATGCCAACTATTTCAATATGTCTCTGTTATTAACAGAAATATATATTTAAATGTAATGCTTCCTATACAGACATGTCGCTTTATTTGCAATACCTTTCCGAAATACCCCACTGTGGCATTACCCATACCTAATCTATCTATCTATCTATCTATCTCTATCTATCTATCTATCTATCTATCTCTCTCTCTCTCTCTCTATATATATATATATATATATATATATATATATATATATATTAATCATGTAGACGACTTCGATGTTGAGTAAAGTGTCACAGCCTCACCAGGTTAGGTGATGTTACTACGCAGCAAGTAAGTTTTTACGAGTTGAAGTTGCCTTCTCTAGGCATTTGTCTCCTTCCAGACACTTGCCAAGCTAATTTAAACGTTTTAAACATATATATATATATATATATATATATATATATATATATATATATATATATATATATATATATATATAAAAACTGTGCTTGATATAATACAACAGAACCGAATATATATATGCATATTATCCCTCACCGATAGCACGACTCTGAATTTCATGCACGTCGCAATCAACAGGTGCAGAGTATAGGATGTCCGTTACGTAATTTAAATTTTAATAGAAATATATGGTTATCACAATGTTGGCGCAATTATATATCATACTGTGCTTACAGTTTTTTAATTTAAAAAATATATATATTTAAAATAAATTGGATTTAAAATAAATATATATATATATATATATATATATATATATATATATATATATATATATATATATATATATATATATATATATATATATATATATATATATATACAAAGAAATATATATATATTACATTTGTGAATATATATTATTGTATTAAGCATAAAGGTATGTTAATTGTTCTTTTAAACCGTAATTAACATTAAAAATTAATCGGAATTATGTAGATATTTATTTTATGTTTACATGTAACTAATAATTTATTTCTCTTGTTTAATAAGCTAGGGTTATTTAAGTGTTTCAAGGTAACTAATTTTTCAACAAGACATAAATTAGATGTATTTCTTGCCACAATATCTCAGGGGATGAAAGGTGCATTTACACCATTCTTTATTTGCCAGAAATATTTAGAGTGAGCAGTGATGTTTTTGTATTTATATTGCCTGAATCATTCGATGATGGTAGAAACGAAAGTTCCCAGGATTTTCTGTGGAACCAATATAAAATTTAACATCATTACCGAAATGCTTGGTATACACTATTATCAGTCATACATTGACTGTTTAAGGGACAAATGTAACTTTTAGACAGTTGCAATTTTAAAAAAACAACAACAACAACAAAAAACAAAAAAACAACGTTGTCTTTGCTGGAAATATATTTATTTAATATAATGTTGTTATGTTGGGATATAGATTTATCGATGTTATTAATGCAACTATATCTCATCTTAATGTTTAAAGTGCTTGTGATCTAAATTGTAGGAAAATTCTTCTTTTAAAAGACTTTTTGTTCTCTTTCATTCTCCTACTAGCCCCTTTCGTCTTAATGGCATCATTGCCATGCTTGGTGAATAGATTCACACACACACACACACACACACATACGCATCTATCTATCTATCTATCTATCTATATATATATATATATATATATATATATATATATATATATATATATGGATAGAAATGTAAAAGGAAGACTGAAAACAGCCGATCGTAAAAAGTATATACAACAAAAAAGTGGTCAATACATAATTCAAATCGAATATGTAGAGATAAGATATTTTAAAAAGTTAAAATGTCATTCAACCTCACCAGCCGGGTTTCGAACCTGAAGTCTCCTCAGGCGAGTGGAAGAATCCTCCCACTTGCCTGAGGACATCTCACGTTCGAAACTCGGGTTGCGAGGTTGGTTGATATTTCTCTCTCTCTCTCTCTCTCTCTCTCTCTCTCTATCTATCTATCTCTCTATCTCTCTCTCTCTCTCTATATATATATATATATATATATATATATATATATATATATATATATATATGTATATATATATATATGAATGACAAAACGACGAAATTTCCCCACCACTTCCACAATAACACCAATACACGCAATCTACATAAACCCAAATTTTTTAAAACATTAATCAGTTTGTCTGACGATCGCTAAAGCGTGAAACCCAGGGTCACAAACTCACATCTATCCAAACGAATATATATATATATATATATATATATATATATATATATATATATATATTATGTATGAAGAGAACGAATACCTGATTCAATGAATTGAAATTTAGGCCGATTTTTCAGATCAGACATCCCAGTTAACATTCTAACATTTATCCATATCAAGGGAATATTTAAATATCGTTTGTGTTTCGTTTTTTGTTTGTTTTCTTCTCTTTTGTTTAACTCCTTTAACGACTTTGCTATTGGCGCGTTGATATGAAATAATCGTCGAAATAACACTTAGGCGATTTCTTTTTCTTTCTGCTGAATGTATAGCTCATTTGTTAAAAATAAACATTTAACGGAGGAAGATCTTGGGGTCTCTTGGTTTGATTAAAAAATATAAATCGTTTTGTTTTTGTTTGTTTTCAAAATAAGAAATATCACTTCCTATTCGACTATATTCGTTAATAGGTCACCGACGGGTATTTCCATCAAATTCATAACACGATATCCTAAGGAATAGAATGATACTTGCACCTACAATATTCAAATTTAACGGTTGGGCGTCATATGGGAAATATTCCTAAAGTAAGAAACAAATGTATTTACGTTATTTTATCTTTTATCGTTTCTTAGAATGTATCGGTCATACTCTTTTCCGGCTTAGGGTACCTCGACGTGGTGTATTGGTTTGAATGCTTGTCTTGCTGGATCAATTACGACTGAGTTCGATCCTCATTGGGTGCCCAATACTTTCGGCTTTGTGCCACATCTAAGCCGGGCTTAGAAAATCACTACTCTCTTCCGGCTTTAACCAGCTTGTCGATTAGTGTAACATACAGGGAATGTTGAGCTGAACTCTTTATTTAATCTATTAGGTTAGAATGTTCTCGCTACGTTCATGCATTGTTCTTATTTTGTACTGCTCACCCTGTCCCCACTTAGTTAAATTATGTACTACCCGGCACAGAGATTGAACTCACAATTACTATGTCACCAAATTTACGAACTGACATTTTAATCCATTATGCTATTGTTCCTTGTGACAATCCCGAGTCTCGAACCTGGAAACTTAAACCTACTTTGATGAAGCTTATTGCTGCTGTTTGTATGTCTCCGTCCGTATATTAAGAAATTCGTTCAACAAGCATCTAAAGAAGAACGGAGGGAACAGGGATCGAAATGTTATAAATATAACAACAAAGATGAAGACAATAGCATAAGTGTAAACCGTATACTTATCATGCACACTTGATCCAAGTTATATTGAACCTGAAAGCTGTTACAGCTTGTTTGTAATTCTGGTGCATTTGATTACAATAAAATAGAATTGTTCCATCTTTGTTATTTTTGTTTTCATCAGTATTTATTATCTTGTTAAAAAAAAAAAAAATAAATGCGTGTGTGTGTTCTTTCATTTTTCTCTTATGCATGAATGGTAATTTTTATGATTTACAACTGACTCATCTTTCCTTTACTGCGCCATTGTTTCGTAAATCTTTATCAGTCGAATATCTCGACCGCTATTGTCTTACTTCAAAAAGGCGTGTCTTTCATCCTTTGCCGTTGGCTTGGTGTTGAACTAATGCAACGTAATAATCACGAGAAAACTCGGTAAGATGGACGTCGTTTTCCGTCGAGAATTCAATTGACATCCATTCCTCTCCGCCCTTCCCTCGTTCCATCTCTCCCTCTCTACCTCTTTAATCCCACTCTATCCATCTCTTCCACTATTTCCCTGTCCGTCTCTCGCTCTGTCATCCTCTCCCCTCTCCCAGTCTCTCTCCCTCTCTCTTCTCCTCTCTATTGGTCTTTCTCTCTATGCGTCTCACGATTCGTTTTTCTCTCTACTTCTCTCTGCATCCGTCTGTTTATCTCTCTCACTATCTCTCTCTGTCCGTCTCTCTCTAATTGTCCGACGCTGACACACACTCTCTCTCTCTCTCTCTCTCTCTCTCTCTCTCTTTCTCTGTCTTTCTCTATTTCTCATTTTCTCTATCCGTCTCTCACTCACTCTATCCGTCTCTCACGCTCTTCCCCTTCTTTCTCTATCCGGCTCTCATTATTTACCCCACACACCGAGCCTTCTCTCCGTCACTCTATCCGTCTCTGACTACCCCTCGCTCTCCGTTTAGGAAATATGAAGAAGAATTTTATAGAGGCCTATATGAAAAATCTCTCAGCATATATTAATGGGCGGAGTGTACATCTTAAAATAAACACATTATATAATATGTATAAACGTAAAAATGAAACTTTCGTGGCCTCTCCCTCCCTCCCCTGCCAGCCCTCTCTCTCTCTCTCTCTCTCTCTCTCTCTCTCTCTCTCTCACGCACTTTTCATATGCATCTATGTCTCATTGTGATTTCGGTGTGAATTTGTGTTCACATTTAATAATAGATGACTTGAACTTGACCCAACACACATCCTTCCTTGCACGCACCACATATATATATATATATATATATATATATATATATATATATATATATATATATATATATATATATATATATATGTGTGTGTGTGTGTGTATATATATATATATATATATATATATATATATATATATATATATGTGTGTGTGTGTGTGTGTGTGTGTGTGTGTGTGTGTGTGTGTGTGCACACATCTCCACACATGCTTTATGGAATCAACCGAGAATATTTAACCGTTTAATATTTTAATATATTTTTGCAAGTTTGCCTGTAAGATGACGCGTATCTGAATCAAATTTATTCAAGATCTGTCGGAATTCTGCGTTTGTTTCGAATTCTTTCAATCATATCTGGTGATTATCAGGAACATTCATGTTGTCACTGTCATGGAGAAAATATTTTACCTTATTCCTGGTACATTAAGAACATTACATTTCTAAGTAAAATAGACGTGCACCGCATACACATGTCGACACGTGTAAAACGGTTAGTAATAATACGTAAGTTGTCTACATTTTAAATTTGAAAAAAAAAAAAAATTAGTCCGCTATGGTTCACGAATTTTGACAGCACTTGAGGACGTTATATCTGTAAGTTAAATAAAAATTCAGCAAGTCTTAAAATTCCTTCACATTCGGTGAAAATATTCTTTTTATTGTGATTCCGAGTGAAAGAGGTTTATGGACATATCACTCTGAAACACCGCTTACCTTAAGATCGCCGAAGTTAAGCAACGTTGATCGTAGTTAGTACCTAGATGGCTTTAAAATACTAGGTACAGTATGTTTGGGTATGCGGATGGTGTAATGGATATCGACTCGGAATTCCAATTCCAGTCGTTTTTTTTTTTAATTCCTTTTCGTGCAAATATCCTTGCTCTTCTTCCCACCAGCTATGGATTAATTAATAGGATTTGTATCTGTGAATCGTTATTATCTCAAAAACTTCTTCAAATACAGAAATAATGTCTGGATTTAAATAACTTGCAAATCCGTAGAAAAAAAAGAAAAAAAAAAGGAAGCAAATCAAAATTGTTCAGGAAGATGTAGACCTATCTCCTCGACTCCTGGCATCACCCCCGTGAATCAGCCTCGCAATGTAGGTCATGTAGGAAGAAGTAAGGCCACATACTATTGTCCCCGTTTCCCACAACCGCCAGTTCCAGGCCAGACGACGCGTGTTTCACCATGGGGAACTTCGTGCGGTCAGTGCCAGCAAGCATTCCACATTTTCTTCTGTCAATTACAAAAACTCATACGGCTGTCTCCGATGCGCCGTTGTTGGCAGAAAAAAAAAACTACGGACGTGGAGTGCCTTTTCACTTCCTTTGTCAGTTTAGAAGCTACCAAGTTAATGCTCGCAATAGGTTTTAATGTAAAATGAAAATGTTAAAAGATTGCGTATGCTGCACGATTTTAAATTAGGTTTTCTTACAATTCTGCCAACCCTTTGTCGTTCTCTCTCCACACACACACACACACATGTATATGTAAATGTATATTTGGGCCGCAAAATTTTATTTAAACATCTTTTATTAAATACGGCAAACAAGGGAAGTGTAATTAATTTTTTTTATTTACTTTTCCCGCATACTAACATAGTTTTTCTGTTTTGTAAGAGTAGGGAAGTACAGACATTTCTCATTTTATTTTTCTGTTGTTTTGAATCGGAGAGTTTATTCTGAGCCTTCAAATGTTTAGTACGACTGGAAATCGCGTGAGCATCTTCTATTAAAAAAAAACGTTTTGATACTCAATTTCCACTATTAAATATGGGGTCACTAGCAGGATAGACTTGTAGCAATCAGTCAACCGCACACAAAAAATGGCCACGTAGTTAAGGGTGGGGGTAAATCTTCTGCCAAGTCAGTCATGAATCGAAAGAGACATGATCACCCAAGCCTGTATCACGTACGGCACTTAATTCGATGGATTTATCTGATTCTCTGCCCCTGATGAGCGATGTTCTGCGTGACTTTGAAGCCGGGCGAGAGATAAATGGATTGAACTTTTATTGATCTCTCTCTCTCTATACATATACATACATACATACATACATATATATATATATATATATATATATATATATATGCATGTGTGTGTGTGAGTGTGTGTATAATATGTGTGTGCAGAAAAATGCATATTTTCGATGCAGAAATGAACTCCATTATGTGCAAAATCATCGTCAAAATATTTCGATCCAATGTTGCAATTCTTCCTCGCTTTTATGAGAACAACTGATATACTAAACTTGTCATTTTGCCTTTCTTTCTCGTATTTTTAATATTCTGTCAATCTGCGATCTTGTGCTATTGTAGTAATTGTGCAATTATCAGTGGGTGTTAAGTACCAACATGACACTAAGTTCCGTTCATAATCTGGGGGATTCTCGGATATTTCAGCAGAGCACTTTTCTAAATATTTCCGTTTGCACTTTTTCAAATACTTTGCATGTTTTCCTTCTTTATTGCGATCGTGTGAATATCTTAATTTTATAATAGAAGTTTTTTGCACTTACCTTCTGAGTCATATATTTTCTCGAATATTCACTGTCTTTTTTCAAAAAGTAAAGTTCACCCAATACAAGGCTCGTGAGTCAAACAAGTTAAAGGGTTGCAATATGTAGGAAGTAAGGATCATTCGACTCCATGGATGTAGCATAGCGACTCCTAATTCTGAAGATCTAAGCTGGTGGAAGTAATGATTGGAACCCATTTAAAAAATGGCCATCTAAACAGCGATAGAGTAGCGACATGCTTCAAGTATTGTGTCTGTAGGGAAAAAGTGACATTCAAAGATAAACCTCCCACTTCCCTCACAAAACTGCTTAAAGGATTTCGAAGATTAGTAAGTGAACACTGGGCAGCTCCAGCAAAAACATGGCAACACTAATCCATTTTTGGTCTAATCTTAATCTTGCAAAGATGAAGCATGTCAGATGGATTAATTGGTTTCTTTTTTGAAGCGAGATATATAACGAGTTATTTAAAGACAAAACACATTTTGGATTGTAAGAACAATTTCTTTTCAGCCAATGAGTATTCATTTACACTTTGTGATAACAATGATTTTTCCAAATAGACAGGCTGATCGAAAAGTAAATCTCCATTTTAAAATACTTATAATTTATGAACTAAATTAACATAGTTTTAAATACTTATAATTTATTAACTTATATTAACTTAATTTATTAACTATTAACTATAATTTTTAGAAGAAATGGATATGAAAGGAAAGCGTTTAGCATGAGGTTTTATTTAAAATTCAATATGGGCACCGGATTTCGCTAGCAATTTCTCGAGTCAACTGATTTCACCAGGAACCCTTGTGGTATGGAAGCTCTAATGGGAGAAAAGATAACAACATTGCATTTCTCAATTTTATTTCACGTAAGTGAATGTAATGAACACAACTGGAATTATAACTCGGCTATTCGATTTACCATTCAGAGAAGCATGGCAGAAAAAATCCTACTTTCTAGAGGGGTAGATTTCGCCTTTTTTTTCTTGCCCAGCAGAAATACCGCATATACATGGTATCCAGTAAAAAGTGGCAAATCACTGTTTCATCTTTCAGGAATAATTGACCTTGAATAACTTTGAATATGTGTGACCTTAAATAATCATTCTCTCGTGGAATTATTTAACTCTGATTGGTTCTTTTATGATTGATTAATTGCTGTTCAATTTGGTGACTCGCCATTTAAAGGTTATTTGCAGACAACTTTCGATCAGCCCTTTTCGTATGGCTAAACAACTCCCTGATTTTGAGCGTCAAGTTATTGTATTTTTCAAAGAACATCAGACGTGGGGATTGACGAAATGTGTAGAAAGTTTTCAATTTTTTATACTATTATGTATGTATAATTATAGGCGGTTAAACAATAACATTTTTTATTAAAATTTATTCACTGAAACAGAAAAATTACAATACATCTTTGCATTGAGTTTGAAATGATAATGTTAATTCAACTCTATTTTTTTATTACAAATCATCACTGTATTTTGCACAGAGATCTTTCAAATGGTTTGACAGACATGTTTTGGTAAATATGACTGAGATTTGCGTTTTCTATTTATTTTAGGACCACTCAAGGTGCATCTTGTTTTCTTTCTACTGCTGGATATTTCTTAGGCATTGTATTGCTCACTAGAGTTTGTAGTTGTATCAATATCTGCAAGACCTGAATTAATTTGGCATTAGACCATTTTTGTATTATTTCCAGGAGATTTAACTTTCTGACCAATATGAATGAAAGAGCTGAATCACAAGATTTCGCGAAACGTGAAGTCCAGGCTTTTAATATAAAACATTGTAGGAAGGAATTCTTCCTTGTGCCCTTTCAATTAGTTTAGAAGTTTAAATTTCAGAGTTATCCTCCGAATAATATATTTTATTCTTCATTGAATGGTTTGAAGAATGATTTCTCTCAGATTCGTTGTCATCATTCATATCATCACCTGATTCTGAATAAGTAATGCTGACATTATCACTTTTAATATCATCTTCAGAAGAAATGGTACCTATTTAGAATGGATGATATTTTACATCTAATTTAAAATTTCAACCATAGGAAATATGAGGAGAATTCAACCACAAAAATGTTATTTTTTGTTCTAAATTCATTTCCTTTATGTAGATGATAAAATATAAAGAAAAAATAAAAGTCACAAAAATAATTTGAGCATAATAACTATGAGAGTGAAAAAAGATTAATTTTGAAAAGAAATATTAGATTAATGGAACCATTATTAGGCTGAGGATTAATACACTCTTTTGTACTTAAGATTTGCTGGGAGTTTCTTGATTCGGTTATCAGTATTATTCATAATCATTCCTAGTGATCCTACAACTATTGGAATAACGGTGCCGTTTTAAAATCACAATCTTGTAAAATTATATTTTAGATCCCTTGAGTGGATACTGCATC